TATTTTTAGTTTATTATTTATTTAGGGTGAATTTATTTTGTAATAAATTATTTTTTACAAAGCGCGAGTGGAATCTAGTCAACTAACGATAAACAGGGCGCTTTAATCCCCATAATATATATGCATATATCAACTCTAAGTAGGTTAATTGCCAATTCTATAATCTTGTAAATAACGTAAAATTTAAGTAACGTTGTAGATTTAAATACTTTTAAGTTTTAATGTACATTATTTAATGTATTGTAAAAACAGCTGTACAAAGTGTGTTAAAAATAAATCGCTTTATATAATTTTAATAACAATTATTAAATCACCTGTACATTTATGTACCAGATTATTTTTCAACCATTTATATGTATAACTTCGTTTTACTATAATATATGTTTCAAAGGAATGTGTCCGGCATCTTCGCTAAATTAAGAAAAAAAAAGAACAAAATTACATTTTCAGCACAAAAATAATATACATTAGAAAATTTCATTTTATTAACGTCAATACTGTTTCAAAAACGAAACCTTATTTTAAGGGAGAACTGGATTAATAAATTGATATAATACATTGGCGACATAACGATAATTGTGTAAAATATAATTTTCTCTGATATTCAAGATGTGTTTTTATTTTTTTTAATTTCGGGTGTTTAGAATGTTTTCTCGCAAAATTGGTGCTATGCAAAGATGCGTCGTTTTAAATATTGGCGGTTTTAAACCATTTTAACAAAAGCCTTACAGATGCCGCTCGTGTCAAATGTCGCTTACAGTTCTCTATACTGTAGAGTCTAGTATAGAGGACTCTGATGTCACTGCAATGTTCGCCTCAAATATCTATGGCCTCAAATGTCACTGCAATGTTTACAGAACCGGTTGTTTGGAATCATTCAAAACATGTTCTTTGAAAAGCAAAAATAGTATGTTTTGCGGTTTTATGTTGATTGGAATGGGTACTTAAAAAAAATGGGCTTTTAAAATAGTTAATTAGTTACGTTATAAACGTACATGTACTTTTACATTAATAATATGCATCGTTTAACCTCACTTTATTTGGGGAAATGTTAACTTATTGTGATAATTAGATAAATAAAGTGTGAAATGGCTTCAAGGAATTTAACAGAAGTTTTTATTTTAATGAGGAACAATGCCATTCGTAATCGGCATTTGGATTTTGAGCAGGTTAGTGAAAACTGAAAGTTTTGAATACAGCTGCTTTAACTGCAACCACTCACTGTACTTATAGGACAGCAACGAACAAATGGCCCTGGTGGAACTTTACGACGTAGAAAATGGAAGACGTGCTAATGATAGAATACCTCCATCGTGGTTAGACCAATTGGAAGATGCTCAGATAGTTTTGAAAAGATTAAAAGTCAAAATAAATGAACTTAAAACATTACATTCACAACATTTACACCGACCTACCATTGATGACAACAGTAAAGGTGAAGTTTTAATAGAAAACTGTTCCCATGAAATTTCCTCCTTGTTCAATTCTGTCCATAGAACAATACAGTTTATTAAAAGTCATGCAAGTGAAGGTACAATAAAAGAATTAATTTTGTTTAACTAACTTAAATTCCTAAAATGTCATTACTCATGTTTAGGTACTAAGGAGGAGAGGGTTCTAACTTTAAATGTGATAAGGACACTAGCTACATCATTACAAGAATTATCAATGCAATTTCGTGCCACACAAAATAATTATCTAAAGCAGTTGAAGTCAAGAGAAGAAAGATCACGATTTTTTTTTGAAAATTCCGTTCCTGAGCAAGATTTCCAAGAATTTACAAATCAAATGGAGGACATAGATCATGATTTTGTAAATAGTTCTAGGCAAATGACTCAGCAGCAATTGTTATATTTAGAAGAAGAGAATACACAACTTGCCTTACAAAGAGAACAAGAAGTTAATACAATAGTAAAATCAATTGTTGAACTGAATGAAATATTTAAAGATTTAAGTCAAATGGTGTTAGATCAAGGAACAGTTTTAGATAGGATAGATTATAATATTGAGCAGACTCATGTACAAGTTCAAGAAGGTTTTAAACAACTACAAAAAGCTGATGCATACCAAAGGAAAAACAGAAAAATNTTCTTAGTCAGTACAAAAATACAAGACGTGGAACGCCCATTTCGACTTTATTTAGTCTCATCAGCACGCCATAAGCAAACTCGTTAAATCACCGACCAAACCGAATTCATTCCATATAAATATGCAATTTTATGTAATAACTTTAGTTAGCAGTAAAATATGGAACATACAGCAGTGACTCGATATTCGATATTCTATTCATTTAAGATTGAATAATTTAAAATAGGTACTTAGTGTAATACTTAGAAAAGGATGGTTAATGTGTCAATGAGATAGTGATTATGAACTAAATTAGAAGCTGATAGTAATAATTAATTATTAAATTAGAATATATAGCAAACATGTAAAGTCTTTATTTAAACTGATATCAAAGTACACATCTTATAAACGTAAAAAAAGGAACAAAATAAAGTTTCTTGCACATTCCATCAACTGTTTAAATTTTTCATTACTGTCAAGTGCACGTAATTTATATACCTAACAAAATTCAAAACACTATAATTGATTATATGTTTCTAATACATGCCGTTTGTATTCTGCTTGTCTGGTCCATAGTTCTGCTGCTAAAGCATTTAGGGGACTATCTATGTTAGGTTCTCCCAGTAATGACTGGATAGACAGTAAAATTGTACGAACATCATATAAAGCAGACCACTTCTCTTTAAGAATATCTAAACAAATGTTACCGCTGGAATCTATGTTAGGATGAAAACAAGGGGTAATGAACTTTACTGTAGGAGCTGTATAAGGGTAAGAATGTGGGAACTGTAGCGACAATTTATATTTCTGTGACTCGTAAACTGTGTCACTGGGGCCTGTTATTGTACCAATCCATCTGAACAAGTTCTCCCCTTCTGGAAAAGCTGATACCGATTTATCTGTCGAAATCATAAGTGTCATTAATTCTTTATGTAACCTGAAAGAAAAAGAGCACAATTTTTTCAGGAATAGTTTTTTTTCCAGGATTCATGATAAGTAAATAGAGGTTAGATGTGCGTTTTCTCAAGAAAAATTATTACCTCTTAGTAACTGCATGGCTTTCGCTGGCTACATTTCGACCCTCGTTATTTTGTTTACTATTATCTGACTGTTGACTGTAATAAGGATCAATATTTTGAGCCATATTTATTGTAGTCCACAACAAAAGCCAATTTCAAACGAAAAAGATAAGTAAAAATTTGTAACAGAAAATGTTGATTTAAAACTGTCCAATCAACAGTAAGATACTAGTGACATTCGGTTTGTCATCTTGTCACTAGTGTAAATTGTAAAATGTCGATAATTTTTCAAAGTAATTTAAAGGTTATGAGTTTGTTTTTTCTTGTAAATATATTTTCAAATATTAACTGTTTTTAAAATTACCCTGAATGGTAAAGAAAAAAATAGTTAAACTTACTTGCACCTAAAACGTTTTTGTTTGATTAACTTCAGAAGCGTGAAATGCAAAGAACTCAACGGCTTACTAAAGAATTGGCCAAAATAACTCAAAATCCTCCCTCAGGAATCAGTTTATCTCCATTAAACGATAATTTGGATTATTTCCAAGCAAGTTTAGTTGGTCCTAATGGCACGCCATATGAGCAAGCAGTTTTTAACTTAGAGATAGTGATACCACAGAACTACCCCTTTTCACCACCTTCTGTGAAGTTTAAAACGAAGATTTATCACCCAAACATCGATGACACTGGAAGAATTTGTTTAGACTTATTAAAAATGCCACCTAAAGGCTGTTGGAAGCCAACAATTGGTTTGGAAGGCCTGTTAATAGCAATAAGAATGTTATTGGAACATCCCAATCCAGAAGACCCTCTTATGATTGAAATTGCTGAGGAATTTAAAAATAACTATTCACAATTTATTTCAGTAGCCAGGGAATACTCTAAACAATATGCTATTAAGCATTCCTGATAATATTTCCATTTGTTTAATGAAATGTGTTGTATTTAACTATGTACTTGAATACTTTATTTAATTCCATTTTCAATTTTAATTAAAATTATGATACCAAATTACTTCTGTTTATTTAATTTAACTACAAAAAGTAATTTTATGGCATTAAATACTTCTGAATTTTATATCTAATACATTATACAGCATTAAACAATTCTAACTGAAATGGTAGAATTATGTATGTGGTATTTGGGTTCCTGGCTTATCACTGATACTTCTGCCTTCTAATTGGACCTCTAATTCCTGTATATCATTATCTCCACTATTAACTGGTTCATCCTCCTCACATTCTTCTGCAACACTACTCCTTAAAGCTTCTGTATATGCTTCAGGATATTGCATGGAAAGCTTTGATTTTACGGTTCTTATCTTCTTAAAAATGTATTCCAAGTCCTTCTTCATTTCTTGCAATAATTTTATGTGTTCTTTGAATTCTGGGCCAATCATTTTCAAACGAGATGCACTAAGTGCATTACAGTTGGTTAACATTTCATTAGTCTTCTCAAATCGTTGCAACCTCATCAAGTGGAAGAAAAATTATATAAATTGGGGTAAACTGTAACATTAATAGTGTCTTACATGTGCTTTTGGGCCCTAATCATAGTTTCTACATCTTGCTGATTTACAATGCCAGCAAGACCCTGAATAAATACTTCAGGAGCGGTATAATTTTGAAAGCACTCAATGCCAAAGTCACTTTCTGGTGTATCTTTATTATCTTCCATTTTTAAGCATTTTTTATCTGTTTTACCTTATTATAATCATTTCAGGACATATTAGAAAATAAACATAACCTACTTTCTACAATAAAGAAACCATAGAAAGAAACTAAGTAGTGGCTCTACAACGAACAGTCAGGCGATTTTGTAACGTAAAAATGTACCTATATTTTATATACAGAGTGTTCAGAAAATATTCGTGTATCGTAAATTCTTTGAAATAGGTAACAACATAATGATATTAGAAAAACGAAAATAATACCGCTTAAGTGGCAAAAAAGAATATGTAAATTTACCTATTCATTTATATTTATCCATTTGTAGATAAGAAATGACTGGCCAAAAATGGATATTATCGCTTTAACATCATTGCTATAAATTTGTACATTTTGCAAAAGAGTTTTACTAAGCTGTAATAAGGTAAACTCCTACTTATTCTAAATACAAATCGGCGTTGCATTTACTTATTTGTTTGTTTATTATATTCTTATATGATTTTGGCATCCGCTGACCTAAACCTCTGTTTATTTTTAATAAATTTTCAAATACGCTTAGATATGCAAAGTTTTAATCTTATTCAGAGAACGGATTAAGTTCTTAGTCAGTACAAAAATACAAGACGTGGAACGCCCATTTCGACTTTATTTAGTCTCATCAGCACGCCATAAGCAAACTCGTTAAATCACCGACCAAACCGAATTCATTCCATATAAATATGCAATTTTATGTAATAACTTTAGTTAGCAGTAAAATATGGAACATACAGCAGTGACTCGATATTCGATATTCTATTCATTTAAGATTGAATAATTTAAAATAGGTACTTAGTGTAATACTTAGAAAAGGATGGTTAATGTGTCAATGAGATAGTGATTATGAACTAAATTAGAAGCTGATAGTAATAATTAATTATTAAATTAGAATATATAGCGAGGTTTGGTATCATTTTTCATAAACGTTTATTCATGACCGTTACCTTGTTGATTTCCATAGGAGATTATATCCGTAGCTCAGCTACATCTAGTATATTATAATAAATCTTATTACGTAAAAAAAACAGATGCTCTTTTTGCATCTATTTTCGACCACTATAGAAATACTAAGCTAACAGTATATAAATGAAAAAATACTAACAGTACATAAATTAATTAGAATTGTTCACGCTCTGTAAACGTATATTTCATGTCTCAACACCCTGTAGATGTCTTTATGTCTTAGGTTACTTTAAGCCCATTTATTGTCACTTGCTAAAGTTATACACCGAACGGCATGACCATAAATGTAACAGCGGGAAGTCATCCGAATCGGCTGAAGAGGACCCTAGTTGGTCCTAGAACGGCCTGAGGTAGAGTGGTTTTAGTCGGTAGGTCCGAGGACAACTTCCTCGGGAATCCGACACTACCCAGTCGTACGGACGGCTGGGTGTCTTTTGAAGATTTCCCCTCTTCCACGAAAACATAAAAAAAAGAGTCATCCGAAGGCAAGTGGTTGTACCCCTTTTTGTAGATATTTCTATTTAGGTACCTAGATTTAAGTTCTGTAGGGATTCGAAGAGTGTGATTTGACACCCCGACACGACAACCTCGAATTCTCTGTAGTCCAGTATAGTTTTCGTTAATAAAGTAATTATTTGTTAAGTTCACTCTTCCGACTTTTATTCCGACAATCATCAACGCAAAAACAAGAAATAATGACCTCTTGATTTAAATTCTGCCTTTTTGTAAGTATACAAATCTCTGTCTTTTTTCTGCAAAAAAACTTCCACGGATGATGAGGAGCCTTTGCGGCTTCAAATATAATTACAAAAAAAAAGGTGACGATAATGTAGGATTCTATATGAAACAAATTGATTGTACCCTTTTCAACATTCCCCCTCAATTAATTTACTGCTATTTCTCGGGATTTGTTCCCGTGATGAGCTCCCGGTTGTTTAACACTTCCAGCAGAGCCCTCAATGTCGTAAAACTGATTACTGGAGCATATGCTTGTATCTCATCATAGTCGAAACCTTCTGCGCACAACCCTGATGACTAGCCTCGCTTCGTTTTGTGATATGTTCCCAATCTCATCCTGTTTCTTTCTGAACATCCGCCTGCTCTCAATTGTTTTTTTTTCCAGAAAGTAAAGTAGTCACGTTCCTGGTTTGGTTTTCATTCAGAGAGTAGATTTTGTTCAAATCTGATTTGACTGTTGCCTACCACTCATCAGCTACGTCTTCTCGCCTCTCGATGTCTTTATATTGTCTCGGTATCGAGCGTCACAACTACGTAGTCCTCTAGGTATTTTGGTGCAGTTTTGGTTCTCGTACTTATTTGTTGCTTTGGATCTTCTGTTTTCTTCTTCCCATTGGGTGACTTGACTGAGGTTCTCTCGATTTCTACACTGTTGTTTCTTGCTCTTCCTCCTCCTCCTCTTTTTGCTCACCTGATCCTTCTTCAGCACTTCCGGAGACGTCTCTTCGCTAATAAAAGTCCGCTGAATAATTAGTAATAAGTTGAATTGTTGTGAGTAGTCTCGTCGATTCTGGTATAAACTTTGTTGTCTTCAGTTGACAGCAGCCTATAACGTTGGGCAGTACCCGAGCACGTATGCCTAACAACCGAACACCAGCAGCTTCTTCAGGTTAGGTCGTTCTCCATACTACAGTTCCCCCGGAACAGCGTTCGGTAATGCGTTGGTAGGGAAGCGATTAATCAAATAGCCGCCAAGAGGACAGCTTCCGTCCAGAGAGTTTTCCGGAGTTTGGCTCCCTGCAGCATACAGCAAGCCTTTTTCAGGATGGTGTCATTTATCCTTTTGGGCACTCCGTTTTGCTGCGAAATGCTCCCTCATTTCTTTGGATAAGTACTCCCTGCTATTTTCACATCTAAACCTGCCCATCTTTGTTTCAAAATGGGTCGTCGCCATAGCCTTGGAGACCTTGAAATACTTGAACGTCTCATCCTTGCTTATCTCATGAATACGCTTTTATTCTCAGCTTGTACATCTTAAGATCTCGATTTCCGATTGCAATCTCTGTTTTTCCTTTTAGGAATACGTCTCGGCCGTGATGGAGGAAGATCTCGAGTCTGTCCATTTTAGAGTTGGAACAGTCAGGTTACATTCGCTACCTGGACCAAAGAGAACATTTCTGTAACAGAAACGTTTACCAAGGACTTTGCGTGAACCACCCCCGCTTTGTTTGCGATTGGAGGGTGTATTTACCTTGTATTTACAAGGTACTTCTCCAAACTCACCTAGTATTCAGAAACCCCAGAATCCAGGTACCAAGACATTGTATCGTCGTTGCCTGTGCGTACCAAAAAACAAAACTCCGTACCTGATTGTCCTCTTCCTCCTCTGTATATTCATTTTCTTCTTCCACTGCCACGTGTGCATTGCTTCCTCCCCTATTTTGTCTTTCTCGAATCCACTTGATTCGTTTGCTTCGACTTTCCGAGCGAAAATGTTCGACTCCTCCACAGCGATGATATTTCAGATTTTATTTGTTAACGATATTCCTGACTGCCTTGAATCTGCCTCTTCGATTCCGGGGTGGTGCCGCAAATTTATATTTTTATTCCCTTAATGTCTCATCTATTTCCTTCTCATACCTATTTTTGTTCTCAGGCGATGATGAATTTGACGAAAAAACTGTTACATTAGCTGAGGAAAAGCTTCGTCAGTTCCTTGAATTACTCATCATTAGTGGTTACCTTAGCTTACCTTCTGCAAAAGACTATTGGTCGACGTCTGAAGATAAGTAGGCGCCAAGATATTTTAAAGTGATGAGTAGGAAAATGTTTCGTATAATAGAAACGATACCTTTACCTTGCTGATAGTAACAACCTAGATAAAGAAGGAAAGGAAAGAGAACAGAAGGCTGTATGGAAGTCAATAAGAAATAGGCGAGATAGGTTGGTAGGGTGTACCTTCTCAGGCATGAAAGACTTGTCAGAGACATATTAGAAGCAAAAACATGAGTTAAGAGGAGTAGAGGTAGATTTGGATTAGATTATTGTTCACGAACAGTTAAGTATGTTCTAGATCTAGGAAAATGCGAAGATTACCTTTTAGGACTAACAATATGATGATCATGATGATAAACTAAAGGATAATCTTCAACAAATTGGAGTTTTCCATAAGCACCTCAGCATAGATGAAGCAATGGTGCCCTACCATGGACATCATTCTGTGAATATGTTTATTAAAAATTAACCAATCCGTTTTGGATCTAAGATATGGATGCCTTGTGGATATGATAGTTATTTAACTTTATCTAATAAACTTTGAGATTTATTGTGGAAAAACTAATAATACTTTAAAATCCTTGGGAAAAAGGGTGGTGAAAAATATGTTATCCGTCATTCTCGACCGGCCTAATCATGGGTATCATATACTTTGATATTTTTTTTTAAGTTATGACCTTATGAAGGAAACATCCGGCCTTGCGGTACCATTAGAGAAAACTAAACCATTAAGTGTCCACTAATTGCTTATAAAGAATTGAAAAAGCATGATCAGGGCGTTGTGTCGTACCAGAAGAACCCTAGATGTTCAAAATGTGAAAAACGATTAGGTACATAAAAGTTTTTGCTTTGATATGCACCATATAAAAATCTAAATATATACATATTACGAACTTAGCTACCTTCCTATTGATTTTTATACTTTTTTAAATAAAATGATAGAATCTTCTCTTAAACGACTCCATCGATATAGTTCAAATTTGGTACAATGTTCATGCACAGTCGGGAGTAGGTTTGTAAAAAATAATTTTTAAAATCGGGCATACCACGGAGGAATAAACACCAGAAAAATGAAGTTGTCTACAGTGCAAAAAAATAAAATTGCAATTCGGACATACCATAGAGGAATAATCGCCAAAAATTGTTTGATATGGGGAGGGAGCTCGCGGCGTTAGCTAAGGGAGTGACCAGTCGGACAATTCGTTACGTGTTATATATAGTACACACTGCTTCGCTCCATTTCATCTTGCAGCATATTGCGAAGATTGCCTAGTTTATATATTCCATTTTACGAATTTTTTAAATTTTTTAGTGACAGCTGTTTCGCCATTCGGTATCGTAGGGAGGCATTATATTTAACGTCGAT